TTCAGCGGTGGAAATCAGCCAGTGAAGAAGAGTTTCTTGGTATATCGTAATGACTGCAGCCTTCCCCGGAGCAGCTCCGACTCTGAGTCCAGCAGCAGTAGCAGCAGCAGCGCTGCCTCAGACCGAACCAGGTACCAGCCCTCCAGATCAAGGCCTGTCTCCAGGATGCCCTTCCATGTTTCCCTATGGGAAGTGGGGTGCCAGCCACCTCAGCCTAGATTAAGATGGCTCAGACCCAAGGTTCTCTGCAAAATAAACAGCATATATAAGAATGTCACCATAATGGAATAGTGGGAACCATCCTGGGTTAAGCTGACAGAGCAGAGAGTGTAAGCTGATGCCTTGGGGCCTGGATTTGGCCTGCATACATACTTTGTTTGGCCAGCATGGTGTTTTAAAAAAAATGAATCCAGTACTCCCACATAAAATTCCTAGTGTCTATATTCTCTTTAAAAATCAGATCTGGCAAATCTAGCCAGTGCTGCCTTTAGACGGGGTGTACTCATCACCACCACTGCTAAATCCAGCCCATGTCCATCACATCACTGCCAACACCCTGAGGGCATTTGGATTTGAAATTTTTCAAGTGGCCTCAGCTTTCAAAAATTCTTAGACCTTGGGGCCCAGTTTAAAGAGAGGACATCTACCATGCCATTACCCACTCTTCCCCTGCTTTAAGCCGAGTTCTTATTGTCTTGTCCATAGCACAACACCCTCAAAACAAGGCCGGGGCAAGCCCTCCTTCTCTCGGGGCACGTTCCCGGAAGATAGCAGTGAAGATACCTCAGGCACTGAGAACGAGGCCTACTCCGTGGGCACTGGCCGCGGCGTGGGCCACAGCAGTAAGTACCCTCACCCAAGGCCAGGGATGCCGGGGGCCCAGTGTCAGGGCCTTGCCAGCCCCCTGGCTGCTGATCCGCCCCCTCTCTCCCATTCCTGTGAAGTGGTAAGGAAGAGTCTGGGACGGGGAGCTGGCTGGCTGTCAGAGGATGAAGACTCGCCCCTGGATGCTCTGGACCTGGTGTGGGCCAAATGCCGAGGATATCCATCATACCCAGCTCTGGTAGGCTTCCCCTTTTCTTATCATACCCCTTGTCTCCCAACACCAGATGGCAGACACAGTTAGCAAATTTTACTTACTCTCGGCTGAGCTGCAGAGAACAAGGGTCTTTGGCAGATAGACACTTAAGAGGTTCCTGGTTAGTTGTTCCATGTCTCCCTTTTCCTTCCCTTTGTACCCTTGGGTCTGAAATAGTTCATCATGAGAAGAAGCCAAGGGTCAGCACTGCAGCCTTGTGGCATAATAATCTTTCTCTGTCCCCACTTCAGAGATACTCTCCCAGTTCTTAGGTAGAGTAAGCCGTGCAGAAGAAGGGGACTGAACCAAACAAAGGTCTTATTACACCCTCAGATAATTGATCCAAAGATGCCCCGGGAAGGTATGTTCCACCATGGGGTTCCCATCCCTGTGCCCCCACTGGAGGTGCTGAAACTTGGGGAGCAGATGACCCAGGAAGCCCGAGAGCATCTCTACCTCGTCCTCTTCTTTGACAACAAGCGAACCTGGTAAGGGAGGAGGGGAGCATTTGGTGTGATTCACAGCCACAGATGCAACTCTGGGTATAGGGGCTGGCTGCCAGGAAATTCCAGCAAGACAGACTGGGCTATCACAAATTAGAGGGGGAGGGACTTAGATCTTTGAGCAAAAGGGTTGTGTTGACCATAAGTCTGAGAGCCTGAGTGGGCAGCAGCTGACAAACAGCTATAGCTAGAAGCCAAAGGGCCATTAGTGACTATGACAAGTGTGCTCCCCACCCAGACTTAGGTGGCTTCTAGACTTAGTTTTCCCACCTCTGCCTTCATGGTGACAAAATGGGGATAAAACAAGCATAAACATTCACGCTCTGAATCTCTGTTCTGTCACATGTATGTAGTGTGCTTTTGTGCATTGTCTGCAGAGGATATTTAATGTCCGTCAAGTCTGCCAGGAGCCTCTGGGACAGGGTACCTATTTCAGGTTAGGTCATGGCTCTGCCTTTTTTGCACTCACAAATACCCTGTGATTACCCCGTAGTAGGTCTGTTGACTGGGCTCTTTTCATCACTATGAGCCATTCCTAGAGGGCAGGGACTGTTTCTCTTAGTCTCAGTAACCCCATTGCCCAACAGAGCCTGGCTCAGAGTGGGTGCTCAGGAGGTGTTTTTGAATGAGTGTGTGATGAAGGCTGATGCTTGTTGCTTTCCCAGAGATGACTTATGTGATCCTCACCTCGTCCTACAGGCAGTGGCTGCCGAGAACTAAGCTGGTTCCTCTGGGCGTGAACCAGGACCTCGACAAGGAAAAGATGCTGGAGGGCCGCAAATCCAACATCCGCAAGTCAGTGCAGATTGCCTACCACAGGGCTCTGCAGCACCGCAGCAAGGTGCAGGGCGAGCAGAGCAGTGAGACCAGTGATAGTGACTGATAATGCCCAGCACAGCCCAACCTACAGTGCCCTGCCACCTCTCTCCTCCCCCCTTTGCTCACTGTCCTGGAGTGGCACCGGCCTCTGCACTGACTCATTCCTGGTCTTGGGGCCAGTCTCAGGGGAAGCTGGGTGGGGGAGGTCCCTCCCGCCCTGAGTGCAGCTGGACTGTACAGAACACTCCAAGGGCCCATGGTGGCTCTGCGCAAGGAGAGGGGAGGTCCCACTGGCCAGAAAGCTCCAGAGACCTCACAGCATTGTAGTGCAGGGTGGTGGGCCAAGGTTAGGACACTGCATAAAACAGGCCATCCCACCACCTCTGCCTGCTTTGCTTGTTCCAGGAGAATCTGTAACTGCCTAGTGGCCTGAGGCCCCCTGCAGGTGGTGAGGTGAGCGGGCATCTGCCCAGCCTAGCAGTGGGATTGATGTCTGTCCAGCCCGGAAGAGGGGCACTAGGTGACCCCCTCCCCTGCTGTTGTAAATACTGTAATTAGCGGAGAATTTAAATTATTCTCATTTGTAACTGCGTTTCCGGGTCGCGCCAGAGTCATTTGGTACTAAAAAAGACTGGGGCCTGTCCCCACTTCCCTTTTCCCCATAGATTCCCCCACCTTTCAAACTGGTTTGTATTTATTTCAAAGGAAGAAAATATATTGATTCTTAGAAAATAAATGGTCTGTTTGGAATTCTTGGGTTCTTACCTCTTGCCAGGGCAAAGGGATAAAAAGGGAAGCTCAGTCCCCCAGGGATGGTAAATAATTGGGCTCAAGAGGTTGCTGGTTGCTGTGCCTGCTGCATTTGTAAGACAACAGCAAAGATGATATAACAGTTCCCATTTCCCAGGCACTTAACTGAGTGGCAGGCCTTGTTCTAAGCACTTTTAGATACACGATTTCATGTAATCCTTGCAATAACTCTGGGGAAAGTTAATAATAGAGTGGTTATCTCCACAAAGACACTGAGGTTAAGAAAAATTAAGTAACTTGCCTAAATTTCCACAACTAGGAAGTCGCAGAGCTAGGATTTGAACTCAGGTCTGTCTGTTTGTCTGCCAAGCTGGCTCTTTAACCAGCACGCAGAACTGCTGGAGGAAGAGTCTACTGCCCATCCCTTCATGAATTTCAGATGCTTCAAGTTCTCTGCCAGTAGGATAGTCCAAGTGTTTCAGAGTCTCTATAGCTGTGACCTTCACCTGTTTAACGGGGGCCAGAGCAGGCATGTAGAGGATTGCTTTTCACTCATTCCCAACCTTGGCACCCCCTTTACAGATTCAAACAGTTACTGAAGGAATACCTTCCAAGTGCTAGGCACCTGTGGGCTGGCACGCCTAGAGATGAGACAGCCACAGGACGTAGGTGCTCAAGGGCCTTGCAGCTGCTGAGGAGTGGAGCAGACAAAAACACCATTTGATGATAACCATGCTCCTGGTGCTCCGTACTAGGTACTGTGGGTGGGACACAAATCAGCTGCAAATCTTGCCCCTGAGGAATCTGCAGTCTACTCATTCAGACACAGTAACCCCAAATCACTGCGCTACAAGGTGAAAAGTGGCCCAGATAAAAGTTCTGTCTCCTAGCTCCATGCTCATTGTGTTCCTCCACAAGGGAAGAAATTACTTAAAACATCTTTCCTCGGCCCAGGCAGCCAGCCCTGCAAACGGCGAGGCAGACAGGCCCCACTAGGCACGGGTGTGAGATGATGGGAGTGCTGTTGAAGGAATGCCCCGAGACTGAAGGGAGCAGCTGGGCAGCACAGCTGCGGCCGGGGCGCGGCAGTCCGAGGAGCCCGGCCTCTGATGGAGTGAAGTCTTGAGGCCTGACTGCGAAGTCGAGGCTCGGTGAGGCCTTCTGGAGGGGAGCGGCCCAGCCGGCGGGTGCGAAGACAGGATCCGCAGGCGACAGACGCTGTGGAGACGCCTCACTGGGGCTCGCAGGGGCCCGAGCTGTGTTCGGGTCCGATTCTCGGTCAAGAGGGCGAATATCTGACTGGAGAAGCTCGGTGGAGAAAGTCTTTCTGAGGACGGTGAGGGACAGGATTTGGTTCTGCGGACAGGGAAGCCTGAGGAACCCCGAGGGTCTGAGGAGATCAGGCCGTGAGGATTGGGGCCCGAGGGCGCATTCTGCGGCCGGTCCGCGGGGCGTGGGGATTGGACACCCTGGCGTGCCGAGTGCAGACATCCCCAGAGAAAAGGCCGAGAGCGGGCAGCTAGCCCAGCGCGCGCCAACCGCTGCGGCGCCTGGGAGAGACCCGCCCACCTACCACCACACCCTGTTCTCATTGGCGCCTCTCACTTCTTCGCGGATTGGCTACCTCCGGATCCAATAAGCCAGGCCTGAGTCCTACTTCCGGGGAGAGTGAGGTCGGCCCCCTGGAGAAGCCGGAAGAGTGCATTTGCGCGCGCTTCCCAAAGTCGCGACAGCTCGGAGGACAGTGGTGCGCGCCGCGCGGGAGGCGGGGGCCGGGGAGGATACGTAAGGAGGAAGGACGGAGGATTGGGGGGGAGGGGCCCTTGCCCCGCCCGTAAGGGGCGGGGCCTACGGGGAGTGGAAGAATTAAATGAAACTGGGAGGGCCTTAAACTAGGGGGCAAGGGCTTGGTGGGCGAGGCCTTAAGGGATGTGTAGTCTGTGTGGGCGTGGTCTTTTGGCTACGGGAGATCTGGTACCGAGTGGGCGGGGCCATTATGAGGCGGAGCCTGGCGTGGAATTCTTCGCTCCCTTCTGCTATGCAGCATGGGGCATCGTACTCTAGCTTCTTTCCCGGCCCTGTGGGCCTCCATCCCCTGTCCACGCTCGGAGCTGCGCCTGGACCTGGTTCTGGCTTCCGGACAGTCCTTCCGGTGAGTGACCCTGACTCCTGGACCCTCGACACTGCAGGTCTGGAGTGTAAAGGAATGTTGGGGGTGATGGAAGAAACCTCAGGGTACAAAAGAGGAAACTGAGGCACGGGTGGTGAGCCTGTTTCCCCCCTTTATAAAGTGGAGGTAAAAAAGCAGTGCAGGGGCACTTGGGTGGCCCAGTCGGAAGCATCCGACTCTTGATCTCTGCTCAGGTCTTGATCTCAGGGTCATGAGTTCAAGCCCCGCGTTGGGCTCCACGCCGGACATGGAGCCAACTTAAAAAAAAAAAAAAAAGCCAGTGTATTGTTGTGAGGAAATGACTTGGCATTTCCTAAGTCAGTTTTGTGTATGAAGCTGTTGTAGGGTGGGAGGGCCCCAAAGGGTGCAAGAAGGAAAACTGAGTACCAGGGCTGCTGTGTGCCTGGGGGCTCAGGTGGAGGGAACAAAACCCTGCGCACTGGACTGGAGTGCTGGCGAACCAGGTATGGACACTGACCCAGACTGAGGACCAGCTCTACTGTACTGTGTACCGAGGCGACAAGGGATGGGTTGGCAGGCCTACATCAGAAGAGCTAAAGACTGTGCACCAGTACTTCCAGCTGGATGTCAGCCTGGCTCAACTATATCACCATTGGAGTTCTGTGGACCCCCACTTTCAAGAGGTGGCTCAGAAATTCCAAGGTGAGTTCAAGGATTGGGGCAGGGGTTGGAGTTCTTGTAATTTGGTTAAATTACAGTTTCACCATCTGTAAAATGGGGATTATATTACAGAATTTTACAAGGATTCGTAAATCAGAATTTTACAAGGATTAAAGGAGTTAATTTAACGTGTAAAGCTTTGCTTAGAATAGTACCTGACACATAGTAATTATTTATTACTATTATTATTGTTCTGCTGATTACCACAGCGTAGTGACAAGGATATTGGACCAAATCCTGGCTGTGTGACCTAGGGCAGGTGACGTCATTCACTCTGTAAATATTTACATAGCATCTGCTATGTGACTGGGGATATAGCAGTGAACAGACACAAACACAAAACAGACACAAATCCCCATCCTCATAGTGTTTACATTGTGGCTTCTTTATCTGTGAAATGTAATGATAGCCCAGACCTCATGGATTCTATGAGGAATGAGAGTTCTGGTGTTGCTTTCTCTAACAACACTGTCCGTCATTCCCCCTGGATGCTTCTAGGTCTTTGGTGCCTAGGATCTGAGGGTGAGAAGAGGCCACTCCTGACAGCAGGTCTGTATCCTATCCCCTACCTTTCCCTAGGTGTACGACTCCTGCAACAGGACCCTATCGAGTGCCTTTTCTCCTTCATCTGTTCATCCAACAACAACATTGCTCGCATAACTGGCATGGTAGAACGGCTCTGTCAGGCCTTCGGACCTCGGCTCATCCAGCTTGATGATGTCACCTACCATGGCTTCCCCAGCCTGCAGGCCCTGGCTGGTGAGTAGGTGGGTCCCTGCCCTCAGACCCTCCAATAGCTTTCAGGGTCTCGTCACTTCTGCCCTGGTCCCCATCTCCCATCTCAAAGCTTCTTGCCTTCCCAAATACTGCCCTCTTCCAGAACCACCTTGCCTGGTCTGATCAGCCCCACCAAATCCTCCCCGTCTGTCCCTAAAATGTCAGCACCTCACTAGTCTTTGCTTTATACCCCATGGGTTCAGTGCTTCATCAAAAAAACAAAACAAAAACAAAAACAAAAAAACCCAACTATATATGGTATATGGTACTTTGGGGTTAAGAGCACTCATTCTGGAGACAGACTGCCTAGGTCTGAATTCTACCTTTGGCACTTGACATCTAGCTGGATGACCTTGAGCACATTATTTAGTCTCTCTGTGTCAGTTTTTTCATCTGGAACAAGATAATAATGGCACCTACCTATCAGAGTTGCCACAAGGGTGAAGTAAAGAAATACACATACTGTGTATTTGACATACAGGAATTATGCAGAAAATTTAAGTTGCCATCTCTAAGGGAACCCAAAAATTTTGCATCCAAGAACATTAGTGTTCTTCATAGCAGCCCTGTAAGGCAAGTATTTTACAGAGGCAAATATATCAGTTGGCAGATGTGAGAATAAAGCGAAGAGAAGTGCTTAGGGACTGCATAGTAAGGAAACAGGCCAGCTAGAGAAAAGAATGTTTTTGGTACTTAGAAACCCCGTCTTGGGGGGGTTGAGGAATAGAAACCCAGTCTTGTGTCTCAGCTCCCAGTTTAGTAGTCATAAGACCAAAAGAATTCATTTACCTCTCCAAGCTTCTCTTGTTTGTAGGATGGGAATAACAGTTTCTATTCAGAAGGGTTTGAGTGGTGAGTAAAGCATTCATGAGGCAGGGTGCTCTAAGGGTCTAAGAGCATGGGCTTTGGTTTCCCAGACTTGGGTGCAAGATCCCATCTACACCCTGTCCCTTCTTGAGCAAGTTATTACCCTAAATAATAGTGCTGTCATCAGGGTCCTTGAGAAAAGTGTAATAATGTGCCTAAAGCACTTTGCCCCCACACAATACCCAGCACTTGATAATAGAAGCTGCTGTTGTTATTATGGTTATTATTTGAGATCATAGATGTGAATGCACTTTGGAAAGGTTAAAGAACTCAACTGGGGAGTTCCACCAGGGCAAGTCCTTCTTGTCCCTGCTCCAGTGCCCAAGACCGGGTAGTAGGTGCTCAGAAAACATTTGTAGAGGGGCAGAACCCAGGCTTTAACCCTTGCCTTTGCACAAGTAAATGTCCTGGCATCTCCCAAAGGGCAATGAGGTGGGAGAGAGGTGCCTAGGGAAAGCATTCCTGTGGGGCAGAGGGCTCACCCATTAGCTTGAAGACAGGAAGTATTTGAAGATGCCTGACCCCCACTCTCCCCAACTCCCAACAGGGCCAGAGGTAGAGGCTCAGCTCAGGAAGCTGGGCCTGGGGTACCGTGCGCGCTACGTGAGTGCCAGTGCTCGAGCCATCCTAGAAGAACGGGGTGGGCTACCCTGGCTGCGGCAGCTGCACATGGCCCCCTATGAGGAGGCCCACAAGGCCCTCTGCACCTTGCCCGGGGTGGGCACCAAGGTGAGGTCCCATTGGGATAGGAGCTACCCTCACCACCCATGTGGAGAATAGCAGAGAAGGAGATAAGGCAGGCCTGAGAGCTGGGTACATGCTTGGCTGCTGAAGGCAGGGCAGGAAGAGAAAGGATACAAGCAGATGTTTTATTAGAAAAAATGCAAAGTGCAGAAGGAATATAAAGGACTTTGTCCCTTGAGTGCATTTTTATTTTTATTTATTTATTTTTAAAGATTTTATTTATTTGACAGAGACAGAGACAGCGAGAGCAGGAACACAAGCAGGGGGAGTGGGAGAGGGAGAAGCAGGCTTCCCGCTGAGCTGGGAGCCCCATGTGGGACTCGATCCCAGGACCCTGGGATCATGACCTGAGCCGAAGGCAGTCGTTTAACCAACTGAGCCACCCAGGCGCCCCACTGAGTGCATTTTTAAAAAGGCTATTTGGGTGCGCCTGGGTGGCTCAGTCGTTAAGCGTCTGCCTTCGGCTCAGGTCATGATCTCGGGGTCCTGGGATGGAGCCCCGCATCGGGCTCCCTGCTCCGCGGGAAGCCTGCTTCTCCCTCTCCCACTCCCCCTGCTTGTGTTCCCTCTCTCGCTGTATCTCTCTCTGTCAAATAAATAAAATCTTTAAAAAAATAAAAAATAAAAAAAATAAAAAGGCTCTTTGTTCAGGTGCACATATACACTGCTATATGTGTACAAAAATTTCCAGAAGGAACCACAGGAAACTTAATAGTGGATACCTTTGGGAAGACAAGTGGAAAGATGTTTTTCCTTTTCATGTTGTTTTTATCTTGAAATTATATGTACTTATAAAAGTTTTTGTTTAATATCAACAAGGTTTGCTAGCAGTAAAATGATTGGGAATTGGGCATTTATTGTTTTCTTCTTTATACTTCTCTCTAGATTAAAAATGGATTTTTGTTTAAAAACCTTTTTTAATGTGCTCTGAACTTCAGCCCAACGGAGAATCTTGGTTCTGCCTCTTCTAGCCACGTAACCTTGGCTAAGTCACTTCACCTTTCTGAACCTGTTTTCTTGTTTGCAGAAAGGATATAGTACTGCCTTCTTCCCAGGTTATGAGAACCTGGCCCACATGGGTGTTCACACAGTAGAAATCTCATCATAGCTATTTTTAAAGTTATTACAAGAGGGTGTATATTGATGGAGAATGTAAAATAATAGTAACCTCGGAGTGGTGAAGGAAACAGCCAGCTTTGGGACCAGAAGCAGGATGCTGGCTGGATCTTGCCATTCCTCCTCTGTGGCTCACTCTTTTTCTTTCAAAGGTGGCTGACTGCATCTGCTTGATGGCCCTAGACAAGCCCCAGGCCGTGCCCGTGGATGTCCACATGTGGCAGATTGCCCAGCGTGACTACAGCTGGCACCCCACCACGTCCCAGGCCAAGGGTCCAAGCCCCCAGGCTAACAAGGAACTGGGTAAGGAGAGAGTGCAACACTGGAGCTGGTAGTGGGCTGAGGTGGTAGAAACTTTTCACACCTCTCCATAAAATCCCACTCCTGTGGATAGGGAGTAGGAGGGCTAATTAATTTCACCTTATCACTTCTGGTATAGGAAGCTTTTTCCGGAGCCTGTGGGGACCTTATGCTGGCTGGGCCCAAGCAGTAAGTGTACTGAAGCTTCTCTTCCTCCTCCTCCTCCTCCTCCTCCTCCTCCCACCCAGACCCCTTAGGACTCCTCCCCCAGCCCTGACCCAGTTGACTCCCCCACCACCACCGCCATTGCAGGTGGTCCTCCAGGACTCTTCACCCACCCCAGCCCTGACTCTAATGGGCGCTCCTTGCCCTGACCCTGCTCCCCGTGAACTCTTGTAGCTCTCCACACTGCCACCAGCCCCACCAGCCCTGACTCCGTGTACCCTGACCCCCCAGAGTGTCCTCCCTGCTGCCCCCAGGTACTGTTCAGTGCTGACCTGCGCCAACCCCACCGGGCTCAGGAGCCACCAGCAAAGCGCAGGAGATCTACAGACCCAGAGGGCTAGGTGGGGGGCACTGTACAAAGGGGTTCCCCAAATACCTCTCCCCCCATCCAGTCTTGTGTTGGGAAGGGGGCTTCCTGCAACTACCTCAGGAACCAGGTGCACTCAAATTAAGTAGTTTGCACAGCAGTGTGGGGTGGGGATTCTCTGGAGAGACAGAGCTACCTATGTTTTTATCTCTTCCCTTTATTACAAGAAAGAACAATAAAATAGAAACATTTGTATGGAAAATGCAGCAGAGGAGTGATAGGGAAAGGGGTGGAGAGGCGGCGGGGCAGGGTAACTCTCCAGTTCAGGGAGGGAAGGGGAGCAGGGTGCCCCAACCCCTCCAACGCGAAGGGTTCGGACCCTGGATCTGGGGCCCTAGAGCTGTGGGGGCAGTGCAGGGGACAGTCCCGGACCCGGCTCCGCGCAGCCGTCTCGACAGCAGCAGCCAGCCGCTGGCCCTGCATGAGGAGAGAGAACAGAGTTGGCCGTAGGCGCAGAGCCTCTACACCAGCCTGGATGCCTCTTCCTGGACCACTCACGCCCTTGCACAGAGCACTGGTCCTCACCCCCAACTGCTGGTGTCAGCAGCTCCCCGTGGCTCGCCGTCGGTCCCTGCCCCTCCTGGCTGGTGCCCAGCTGGAGCTTCCTCATGTGCCGCACCACGGCCGTGGCATTGAAAGCTTGCTGTGGGGAGAAGGGGGAGATCATGTGACAGGGTCTAGTGGTGGGATTCTTGCACTGGTTTTGTTACTTTTCCTTCAGGTGTTAGTGGTTGATCCACTAAAGCCCCTGAAACCTCTACAAGTCTTTATTAGACGACACTCAGCCATGTTATATATTTGCACACACATACAGGCATATATATAAAACGTGTGTATATGAACAAGTATATATCATAACCCATTATAATTAATTCTTGTTCACATCATCGCAAACACTTCATATAGCAGCATGTGTCAGGCACTGTTCTAAGCACTTTATTTAGCAATTCATTTAATCTTCACAAAGGTCTTTGAGGGCGGCTCTGTTAGTGTCACCACTGCCACCGGAGAAAACTGAGGCACAGGGAGTTTGAATAACTTGCCCACATGCCTGTGTGTATCATTCTTTATTTAACATATCCACCAAGGCGTCCAGCACAACCCTCAAATTCACCAGGTCCAAAACCAGAATCCTACCCCCCCAAGTGTGTACCCCTGGGATCCCCATCTCAGTGATAGTACCACCGTTCACCATGTCCCCAACCAAAATCTTGGGCTAGCCTTTGACATCTCTCTCTGCCAACATCTCAAAATACATCACTTGTTGTCAGTTCTACCTCCTAAAGGACTTCTGAGCCATCCACTGTTCTCAGGTCCAAGCCCTTACCATCTCCTGCCCACATCTCTGCTATAGCCTCCCAGCCGTGACTCCATGCCTCTCTCTGCACCCTGAGAGCCCTTTCTGGAAGGCAGGTTACTGCTGAAAATCCTTCTGGAGCTCGCCAGTATCTTCAGGACTGAGTCCGTTCTCCACTGTGGCACTCGAGGCCTCTACCTGCATTTCCAGTCTGGGCTCCTGCCCCGCAGCCCCTCCAGTCCGTCCGGGCTTACTGAACACGTGTACCTCCCTGAATGGCCACATTCTCCCTCTCTTGCCTCTGGCCCTCTGCATGCCAGTTCCCTTTGCCTCAGACATGATTCTGCTGTACCTGGCTAATTCCTACCTAGCTGTCGAGTCTGATAGGTCTGTCAGGCCATCAGCATCCTTCCAGGACCCCAGAGATTGGAGTAGATGTCTCTAAGAGTTATACTGTTCTCCCTCTAGACTTGGAGGTCAGGGACTCTCACTGGGATAGAGTAGGTGTCAGGGAGTGTTGAATGAATGAATGAATGAATGAATGAATGAATGAGGTTCTTTAGTAAGCATCCCTGAGCAGTCACTGTGTGCTTGACTTGATGCTAGGTGCTGTGGGAGCTGAGGTCTGGAGTGGGGTGGGGAGGACGCCTGGGGAGGCTGGGACCCAGGATTAGGAACTCACCTTCCACTTGCTCTTGGCAAAATTCTTCTTGATCTGCTCACTCACCGACTGGTGAATATTCTTATCTAGAGCCGTATCTCCTGCAATCCTAGGATGGGGGTGTGTGGAGGGTTGTCTGTGAAGGCAGAGGCAGGTTTGAGGGCCCCAGACCCCATCCCAGCTTGCAGCTTGTGGGAGCTCTCACCATGGGTGCTGCAAGGCCTGTTCACAGGTGAACCTCTTTTCAGGATCCTTCTCCATCAAGTGCTGGATGAAGTCTTTGGCTGAACCCCCAAGGCAAAGGCAAAGACAGAAACAGCATGGTGGTGCCTGTGGACACCCCCAAGACAAAACCCACCCCCTCAGGTCTGGCCTGGCATTTAAGCAAGACAAGAGGCCAGATCTGTCCATCCACCACCCGACCCCACTTGTACTCTTTCTCTAAGCCCCCCGCCCACCGCAGCCTTCCAGCTCTCTTTTTCCCTTATGAAAAACTTGTTCTTAAAGAAGGTTCTACTCAGTGTATTCACACTGATGTGTAAGTGACTGATAATGGCTTCATAGGTTTGCCTCCTAATAGGCACAAAAGGACAGATGAAAACCTTTATGGTGGTGTTTTAGGCATTAGGAAGTCAAATGGATGAGGTATTTTCAAAAATACTATTTTTGAAGGCTGAATGAATGCATGCCTACAAGCTTCTCAGACCGGGGGCTAGGCAGAGGGAAGCACCTGGGGTGGGGTGTCTGGTCTTGAAGACAGCTCTCAGTTTGGGGCTGGGGAATCTGACCAAAGGCAGGCAGTGAAGAGACCCCAAAACAGATGTGAAAGGCACCAGAGGTAGGGCCCAGGGGAAGAAGGCAAAGTCTCAAATACCAGAGTCAGAGATGTCGTCCCAGTAAGGAGAGTCAAACTCGTACTCGGCCTTCAAAATCTGTTCAAAGAGTTTGGCATCATTCTCGTCATAGAAGGGGGGGTAACCGCAGAGCCTGGGCAGGGAGAAACTCATCCTCATATCCACTTTCAGTGCACCCATTGGCTCCAGGATGGGGCTTTGGGGCAGTCTCGGGTCAGGCCGCACCCACAGGGGGGAGTTCCCCCTTTTACAAAGAGGGGATATCTGCCCCTCTCTGATTTTTTTCATTCCTGTCCAGCTACACTAGCCTTTCTGTTTCTTAATTTGCTACCATCTTCCCTTCCTCAGGGCCTTTGCACTTGCTGTTCCTTCTGCCTAAACCATTCTTCCCCCACACCTCGAATGTCTGGCTCCCTCACTTCATTCAGGAGGCTATTCAAATGTCACCTCCTAAGAAAGGACTTTCCTGACCTCCTTATCTAAAATGGCATCCATCCCCATCTCCCTACCCTGCTTGATTTTTCTTCATAGTATCTTAATACCTGACATTATTTTATAGATTTATTTACTTGTTTATTATCTATCTCCCCTACTAGAGTTTTTCCTCCCTGAGGGCAGGCACTTTGTTTTGTTCTCTGCTAAATCCCCAGTGTTTAGCATAGTGCCAGAAACATAGTATGTATTGAATGAAGTAATCTTACTCATTAATTGGTAGATACAAACATAGGCGGCAGGAAAGAAGAAATAGCAGAGAGGAGGAAGAGAGCAAAGTAGGGGAGAGGAGAATGCTGGAGCCACATGCCCCAGTGGCCAAGCCCCCACTCACAGAATGTAGGCAATGACCCCAATGGACCAGCAATCCACTGCCTTGCTGTAGGGCTTCTGGGCCAGGACCTCAGGGGCTATGGAGGGAAAGGGACATGGTGGTGACAAATCTCTGCCCTGCAGCTCCCGATTCCTCCCCTACATATGGCCCCAGCCCAGGATGCTCCATACCCACGTATCCTGGGGTTCCACAGGCTGTGGAGAGCACACTGCCAGGGTCCTCCATCTTGGAGAGACCAAAGTCAGAGATCATGATCTTGGAGTCTTCATCCAGGCTGTAGTACAACAGATTCTCTGGCTTGGAAGGGGGAGGGAAAGGAAGAGGCAGAGATGGCCAGACGCTGGCAGAACCATCTGCCTCCCCAAGCACCCCTCAAAAACTGAGAAAGCCACTGTGGCTTCACGGCTGCCATCTTGGTTGAAGGCACATGAAACTCAAGGAAGTTCTCAAGGAGGTTAAAAGTACCAGAAAGGACAAGGGCCTCGGGAATGTGAGAAGGAATTTTCTATAAACTTCAGGTTTATATTGTGAGCCCTGAATAATTTTTGAGCACCTACTGTGTGCCAGCACTAGCTTGATTTCATTTCATCCTTACCACATCCCTGTCAGGCCAATCTGAATAATCCCCCTTTACAGATGGGAAAACTGATGCCTTGAGAAGCAAAGTGACTTGCCTGAGAACCTACAGTTAGGGAGTAGTAGGGACAGAATTCAAGCCCAGATCTGTTTCACCCCAGCGCTCTTCTAGACCGGAGGAGATGTGCTACAAAATGTGAATCCATCATAGTCTCTGAGGTGTAGGATTTCAGGGGTTTCTGGCTTCCTTCTTTATGTTTTGCTGTCCCCTCCAAGTTTTCTACAAAGAGCAAGGGGGACTTTTATTATGAGAAAAAGACCTAGCCGTTATTTGGACAAAATACCAGCTCCATTCACCTTTGTATCCATTTAAGTGTCCAAACTGGAAGGGGAGGAGGCAGTTTAGGCTTTACAGGGTGCATTTTGCAGAAGGGAAGCCAAAGCTCAGGGAAGGGGTAAGAGTTGCCCCAGGTCATACAGTGAGGGGTTTGCGGAGGTCCCACCCGGCACCCCAGCTCACCACACACCCTCTCACCCCACCTTGAGGTCTCGGTGTACGATGCCCAGGTCATGCAGGTACTTGACGGCATCTAGCACCTGGAAGATGAGGCGGCTGGCGTCCCGCTCCGTGTAGAAGCCTTTCTCCACAATGCGGTCAAACAGCTCCCCGCCGGACACCCTGCAGCCGGGGACAGGACAGTCTGGCCACAGAGGCTAGGGAGGGGCAGCAGGAAGAGGTGTGAGCAAGGGGTGAGGCCACTCACAGCTGCATGATGAGGTAGAGGTGACCCCCACTCTCATAGATGTCATCCAGGGCTACAATGTTGGGGTGCTTGATCCTGAAAGGAGAAATGAGGTAGTTCAGAGCTGAGGACAGCTCAGCCACTTCGCTACCCTCACCTCGAAAGGCCACTACTGCAGACCTGGGCAGGACAAACCAGAGTTCTGTCCCAAAAGGAAAAGCTGATTTACCACAATTTATTATGATGTAATGGAAGGTAGGAGAGCACAGAGATAAACAAACACTGGGCCCTGGCGTCGGACCCATTGGACTGGGTCTCACCTGCCTCTAGTGCGTGCTGTTTGGGGGCAAGTCTTTTCACCTTGCAGCACTGATCAATACACGATTTTAAAATGTTTCTGTGTTTATAAGTCTGTCAGCCTCCGCCACCAGAACACCAGCTCCAGGAGACCAGGGGCTTTATCTTACCATTGTTCCTCCCACACCTGGGGTAGAGTAAGTGCTTACTTATTCATTGAATATTAAGCCTCAGTTTCCACATCTATAATATGAAGCCAATGACTTCCCTCAGTACTTCCCTCAAAGAGTTGGGGTGAGGATGACATAAGAAAACGCAGATAAGAATCTTGGCATAATGCCTGGTACACACTGAATGCTCAATAAATGAACCAATGATGGTGACTGAGCTTGACAGAAGCCATGGCTCTGCCACAAAGTTGCTGTGTGACCTTGGGCGAATCCCTTACCCTCTCTGGGCCTCAGTCCCCTCCCGGAACCCAGTAGTGGAAATTATCATTTCATCCCTGCCCAGGGTGGTTGGAAAGCTCAGGAGAGAGGATGGAAGTGAAGGTTCTCTATCAGCTTTCCAGTGAGGGCAGGAGGTTTCACATCAGTATGAGCTAATCATAGACTAGTTGGTTATTTAATCAGAGGGTCATGAGACAGGCATTTTTTAACTTCCTGAGTGGCTTGGCTTTAATACATAGGGGGGAACTTGAGGTAGGTCTACGATCGCACCAGTTGAGATACATTGCTTTGAGCCACATTCAAGGATTGGCTTTTAGATCTGACTGAACAGATTAAACTGTAAATAAGCAGTGGCATTTCAGTCACATCTGTCATGTTAACTGCTGCACCAGACACATGAAATAAAGGAACCTCTAGGGACGCCTGGGTGGCTCAGTCGGTTGGGCGGCTGCCTTTGGCTCAGGTCATGATCCCGGTGCCCTGGGACTGAGTCCCGCATCGGGCTCCTTGCTCAGCAGGGAGCCTGTTTCTCCCTCTGCCTGCAGCTCCCCTGCTTGTGCTCTTGCTCACTCTCTCTCGCCCACGCTCTCTCTAACAAATAAATAAAACTTTAAAAAAAAAGGAACCTCTAACGTTCTCCACAACCCTGCCAAGTGGAGATTATTACCCCATTTTATAAATGAGCAATTTGAGGCTCACAGGTTAAACAATTTGCCCAAAGCAGAGGTAGGAAGAGAATGGGAGGAGTCAAGGCAGGGTCAACCCCGGCAGAAACACTGTGGCCCACGCACTTGTGCAGGACAGCGATCTCATTCTCCATGCTGCCCTCCTTGCCCTCCAGAGCCTTCTTGGCGATGCATTTGATGGCCACCAGCTTGTGAGTTCTCTTATCTTCTGCCAGGATTACCTCTGAGAAGGCCCCCCTGCAGAGAGAGGGGATTCATGAGCTGGGGAACTGGAACCTTAGCTTCCCTTCAGCCCCTCCTCCATACCCCTAAGGGTTAGGTGACCACCTGTGAACTAAGGATGTGGGATGAGCCTCCCTCCATCACTCTTCCACGCCCTGGTCCGTGCGGTGGTCACATGACCCAGGTCTGGCCAATCAAGAGTAGCCTATCCTTGGCCACAGTAATTGGGTCCTGTGATGCAAGCCAGGTTACTGGCACTTTGAGAATGAGCTGCTCTTTCCTGCCAAGCTGGTAAGATGCGAGCCTGGAGCTAATGGTGGTTATCTTTGCCACCACTTGAGAAGAGCCTGCTTGAGAATGAAGGTAACACAAAGGAAATCAGAGCTAAGAAATTCCTGATGACAATTTCCTGGGGCTCCTGGGTGGCTCAGTCGTTAAGCGTCTGCCTTCAGCTCAGGTTATAATCTCGGAGTCCTGGGATTGAGCCCTATATCGGGCTCCCTGCTGGGCGGGAGGCCTGCTTCTCCCTCTCCCACTCCCCCCACTTGTGTTCCCTCTCTCGCTGTCTCTCTCTCTCTCAAATAAATAAAATCTTAAAAAAAAAAAAAGAAATTCCTTATGACAATTTCCTAATAACATCATGTGAGTCTCTGAATCCAGCCATGCCTGACGTTTATGCCCTCAGCTTATTGATTTATGCATAACTGGTTCATTTTTTTCTGCTACAGTCAATTTGAGTCATGGTTTATTAACACCTTTTATATCCTTGAAGAACCATCAGCATCACCTGGGAACTTTTTTTTTTTTTTTTAAAGATTTTATTTATTTATTCATGAGAGACAGAGAGAGAGAGGCAGAGGGAGAAGCAGGCTCCTAAGGAGCAGGGAGCCCGATGCGGGACTCGATCCCAGGACCCTGGGATCATGACCTGAGCCGAAGCCAGACGCTTAACCATCTGAGCCACCCAGGCGCCCACCTGGGAACTTTTTTATGAGTGCAGAATCTCAGGTCTCAACCCTAGACCCACTAAGTCAGAATCTGCATTTTAACAAGATCTTCAGGTAATCTGTACGCTTACTGAAATTTGAGAAGCAATATTTTACAACAAGCTCTTAGAAAAGAGCAAACTCATTTGCACTAGAGTTCACTGATAAGGAGGATTTACTGGAGTATTTTTCTAGTACTTTTTGCTTTCCCTGGGATAAGAGGAAGTCATATGTCAAAAGCATCTCTTGTGGTGAAATCTCAATCATCAGAATAACTAGTGACTGTGGGGGCACCTGCATGGCTCAGTCAGTTGGGCATCTGCCTTTGGCTCAGGTCGTGATCTCGGGGTCCCAAGGTCGAGCCCCATGTCAGCCTCCCTGCTCCATGGGGAGCCTACTTCTCCCTCTGCCTCTCCCCTGGCTTGTGCTCTCTCTCCCAAATAAATAAATAAAATCTTGGGAAAAAAAAAAAAAAACTAGTGACTGTGGTAGCCTCATTGCTGGTTTCCAGTCTTGTCCCTCTCCAATTTACCCTCCACGCTTTGGCCAGAGTGCCCATCCTGAATTGCAAGCCTGCGAAAATGTCTTAAATGTCTTCCTATGGCTCATGAGACAAAGTCCAGCCTCCATAGCTTGGCTTTCAAGGCTTTACGTGACCTGTTCTCTCTTCTCAGCCTCTTCTTCCACTCTTCCCCAGTCTCTGATTATAATAAGCTCTATCATTCTTTTCCTCTTTCCACACATAACCTGCTTCTCAGCCTTTGCTTATGCTCTTCCTTCTGCCTAGAATGCCCTTCTCCCTCTGTGACAAGTGCATTTCTGCTTATCCTTCAGTCCCTAGCTCAAATACCCACTTCTCCAGAAAGGTTTCTCCAGGCAGAAGCCACCATTCTGGGCTCTACAAAGTCCTCATTCCTGACTTTAACGGGAGCACATCATACACCCTGTTGTCATTTTCCCTGGGTGTGTTTCCCTCACATGTTTAGGATCGACTTGAGGGGCAGAGATCAGGTTTGAGTTATTTCTGGATTCCCACCACTGAGAAAAGAACCATGCCCAGTTTCAGTTCCTAACCTAGGCCAAAACCCCCAGCTCTTGGCCAAAAATTGGAAAAACTGGCTCCTTCCTTCTCCCCTACTTCGTTCTCTTCACAGGAACCCAGAGCTGCAGCCAAGAGCAGCGTCTGTTCTACCCACTGTCAGCCAGAAGTGAAAACATGGGCCAGACTGGGCCATGGCAAGGCTGCCACGGGGCCGGGACTATAGGAAACAGGAAGTGGTGATCAACTGACCAGAGGAAGTACCACCCTGGACTCAGTCTCCCAGCCAGCCAGGCCCAAGAGTGAAGACCTTCCCAACCCACCCCTAGTTCAGAGACAGCCTCCCCCGCCAGCCCCGCTTGCCTGCCCTGAGACTCACGTTCCCAGAACATCACGGAAGTCGTAAATGTCCCTAATGTCCTCCACCTGCTTCCAGCTGGGGCCGTCCACTGCCCCCGGCATGGCCCACTGCCCCCTGGCCACAGCCAGGGCTCCTGAGAAGGGGAATGGAGGGAAAAGACTCAGTGGGGCCCAGCCTTCTGTGTTGGAACTTCGGGAACTGAGGCCCCATTCAGTCATTCAGCCTGCATTTATTCATTCCTTGATTCATTCATTTGATAAAATTATTCAGCAAATTCATTCATTCACCAGTCATTTGTTCTTCCCACAAGTCCTCATGCCTAGAGGAAAATCCTTCAGGGTGGCAGCAAAAGTCTTTTTTCAACAAACTCATTCGTTCACTAATTTATTCAGCTTACCTCCCAGTTTCTCCCTCTCCAAATCCAAACACTCAGGTGGACACTGACCCCCAGGAGGACAGCAGAGAAGACCCCAGAGCAGCTTGTAGAAGCACAGGGTCCTGGAGGGTCCCCCTATCCCCAGAACCAGCAATGTCTCAGCCCCACCCTGGGAATTGCTGGGGTGTCTCCTCTCCTTCCTCTTTCTTCTCCCACCCAGCCTCTCGGAAATCAAGTTTCCGGCAGCCTGGGCTTCCAGCAATATCTCAGCCATGTTTTTAAATAGCTCCTTTTGTACTGTTACCACGGCAACAACAGCCACAGCTGGAGCTCCCCAGGCCTCCTATTACCCCCTCTCCCTCCTGGCTCCCTGATTGGGTCCCAGAAGCCTGAGAAATGGGCTTCTTCTGACTCTGATCCAGCCTGTACCTTTCTCCATTGAGACCTCTGTCAGCCGGAGGGTGGGAGTTCTCTCCCCATTTATCAGATGGACAATGGGGAGACTGAGGTTGGCAATGGATAGGGACTGGGTCCATCTTTGCCCAAATGATGATTGGCTGGGGTCCAGCTAAGTTTGCTGAGGACAAAGGACTTTGATGGGGCCACTCTCAGCTTGTCTTTCCAATATGCAGCCAGATTGGGGCCCATTCAGAGCCCAGCATGCTGTGTGACCTCAAGGAAGGCACTTTCCCTTTCTGTTTCCTCTGTGGGAGAATGAGGGATGGTGTCCTGACTAGAGTCCCTGGTGTGAGATCCCACTCCTTGGATGGGACCTGGTTCTCAGGAGGGGCCTGACCACCCATCCCAGGGGCAGAAACTTTTAGGAAAGGAGACATGATGGTAAGCTCTCAAGGCAGAGTTTTAAAACCCACCTGGAGGCTTGGCAAATGCAACCCTCACAGGTCCACAGACACACCCGAACACACCGAGCTCCACCCACACCTCTGAAGCAGAATACCTGCCCCAAAATTCAGTACATTCCATACCCAGATACCCCAACACCCGATCATACATGGAAACCCAGACATCAGCACACATGTCCACACACACACACTCCCCCCACACATCCTCACACCCAAACAGCCCTCCCACGGATCCCTCTTACACCCCCCCAAAACACACATCTGCGCACACACACACACACACACACACATTCCTCACCTATGTACCGGACATCCCAGATTCACTCATACCCTTCATCCTGTTTCTATACACCCTAGAAACTCCTGTGCTCCAAACCGCACCCCAACTCCTTACACACCTAACTTCAAACATCCTCAATACACAATCGTATAGCCTCAACTCTTACTACTCTTGAGCCAGATACCAGCATGCACAACACTTGGACACACATCTGCAGCAAAAACACTGATTCCCAGACACCCCCACCCATAAATATACCCTTAACACGCAACTCCATATCCGATCCACATGCCTGTGCTAAGACATTAGCACAACCCAACACAGCCCCCACACATCTATAGCTCCAAATGCCAAGTCCGTCCATATTCAGGCCCAGCCGAACACAGGCGCGCGCGCGCACACACACACACATACACACACCCTCCCCACCTTCCTCTAGTACCCACTCAGTTCCCCCACAGCCGCCCGGCACCTGCTGGGCCTCGGGCCGAGGTTGGAGAGAAAGGCCCTGCCCTGCCTCTCCCTGCCGATCCAGAGCCCAGCCCGTCCGGGCACCCACTCCCATCCTTGGGGGAGGGTATCCAGCGACTGGGGGCGTCTGGCCACCCCTCCTCCGCGCCCCGGAGCACAGGCGGGGCGGCCCCTGGGCTGTACCTGCGGCTGCCCCGCCGCGGGGTTGGCTGGGAGGCCCGAGGTGGCTGGCGCCGAGCTCTGGCTGCCGGTTGCCGTGCGCCGCCGCTCCGCTCCTGGCTCGCCCGCCCGCTCTCTCGCTGGCGCTCGGCTCGGGCTCTGCTGGCCCCCTCCGCCCGCCTGCGGTTCTGATGTCAGTGGAGGAGGAGCCTGCGGCGGGGGGACGAGGGACTGGGAGGCTCCGCTGCGCTCCCGGGCTGGGGAAGGGGCGCGGTGGTTGAGGAGGAATCCCCTAGTTCAGGTCAGATCCTCTTTTGGACTCTTCCCTCCCCTCCTCTCTCCTGGAGCCCCCATTTCACAGAGGGGACAACTGAGGCCCTGAGAGCTGAAGGGTTCAAAATCAGCAGTTGGTCAGAGGAAAAATCGAATTCGAATCCAGATCTGTGTGATGTCAGATACTGGCGGGTTCCACCCAGTCGTCTTGTGGAGTTTGAGACCAGTTCTGGGAGCTCCCTTGGGGATCTTGGGCTCTTTCTCCCCGTTCCCGCTCACCTCCCCCTTTCCCTCAGTGCCCCAAAGGGAATTAGGCCCTCAAAAGGGCTCAGGAGACTGATGGGGGCGGGGATGAAGGGGTAGAGAAAGGGCAAAGCAAGAGTAGACAGTGAAGAGAAAGGAGGCAGTTATAGGGAGGTGGCCCCAGTTGACAGGCAGGAAAACAGACCCGGTGTTCCTGTTCCAGTCCCCTGCACCTGCCCCTCAAAATAGGTGTGGTGCCCCCGAGGGACTGGGACAGGGAGGGGGAGGGTGGGGGAGGGAATTAAATCAGGATCCTGGAGGAAGCAGGCCAAAGAAGACCAAAGTGCCACGGGACTGGGCGGGTTCCAAAGGCTGATGGCTAGGGGCCAGGTTTGGGGTGAGGGGGGAGCACAAATTGCTCCTGGGGTGTGGGCAGGGGGCCAAGGGACCTGACTGAGGTCCTCTTGCGCAAGTCTTTCCTTGGGAAGAAATTTGGTGCAGGCGGAGAGAGGGAGGAATTCAAAGGAAGTGTGGGTGGGGCTGGATTGGGGCCAGTCAGAGAAGGCACATTGCTGTGACCCCCCACTCCACCTCCATCGCTTCCCACTGCCCAAATTTCTGCATTTTCCAGTGGGTCGTGGGAAAAGGACAATGCTTACCCCAAATCAATTTCCACTGGCTTTTACCTCTCTTATCCTTGGGACTAGGTCAGGGGTGGTCGATGTTATGCCCATTTTACAGAGAGAGGACGATGGCTGAGGTTCCTAGAAAGGCTTTAAAGACTGACTTGAGTCACACTTCACCTCTCTGAGACTCAGTTTTTTCATCTGGAATATGGGAATATGGACGACCAATTCAGAATTCTCCTGAGAATTCTGTGAGATAATGAATGTGAAGTGCCTGGAATATTGTAGGGGTTCAAATATGAGAGCTAGACTTAGTGTAAACTGAGGCTCCGAGAAGGGACTTGATTTGTCCAGGGGCAAGGGACTAAGGGGCAATTTCCTTCCCCTGAATCTCAGTATCTCAGACTTCCTAGTCCATGGAAAATCACATTTCCTGCCTGGGGCTGAGCCCCTACTCTCCCCTATACCCACCCATTGAGCTAGAATTGTTTCACCACAAATTCCTGTTTATCTCATTGACAATATTCCTAAGGTGATAAGGTAGTCTCTGCCTGAAGACTTGTACAACTTTCATACTCTGTTTTACATTTTGCCTGCTTTTGAGCATGTTTGAGGGCACTTACACTTTCTTTTTTTAACAAATACATTCTCTTTTATTTTTAAAATATTTCTACCAAACAAGTAATTACGTCAGATACTAAAAACACACAAAGACCATCCTTGTCACTGATCAGATTCTTTCACTTGCCAAATAACAGAATCCCAACCAAAGCCAGCTTCATCGAAGAGGAAACTGTGACTGCAAGACTGAAGGAAGAACACCATGGATCAGGGTCTTGGAGACTGGAACTGGAGACACAAGACTCACAGGATTTGCTTTCTTGCTTCTCTCCTGTCTTGATTTCTCTGCACGTTGACTTCCCTTCCTCTGCAGAGTGATCTCTCTGCCTGGCAGAAAACATGGTGTGAGGCAGACCCAGCTTTCCAAATAAACCCAGCAGGAGAGCTATATACCCAGTTTCATATATCAGTCTCAGGGAAGGACTCTGATGAGTTCTGCTAGAGTAACATACCTACTGCTTGGCCCCAAACAAACTATTGCCAAGGAAATAAGGTACTATATTGGGCAAATGTACTGTCGCGGGCAGCCACACTATGGGATGAAGACGGGTATCTTGCCAAAAGGAAATAAGGGTGCTGAGCACACTTTGAATAACAAATCCATCCCAGCCCTGCTCCCATCAATCAGAAATAACCAGTATTAGTATTTTTGGTACATATTCCTCCAGACTCTTTGGGATGCATATACATATTTACATTTCCTACTACAGTCCCAACCCCCAATGAGCATATTTCAAGGTACTAAAACAAAAAGTCAAGGAAAGTCAAATATATGAAGGAAAAAAGGGAATAATCCTCTTCTCCCCTTTGTTATTAAAAAGATGACAAAACAACTGGAGGGGCGAACGGTTTTCTAAGATTAGAGAAAATGGAAGAATTCTTTTTTTTTTTTTTAAGATTTTTATTTATTTGAGGGGCGCCTGGTTGTCTCCGTTGTTAAGCGTCTGCCTTTGGCTCAGGTCATGATCTCAGGGTCCTGGGATCTAGCCCCACATCGGGCTCCCTGCTCAGCGGGAAGCCTGCTTCTCCCTCTCTCACTCCCCCTGCTTGTGTTCCCTCTCTCGCTGTGTCTCTCTGTCAAATACATAAATAAAATCTTTAAAAAAAAAAGATTTTTATTTATTTGAGAGAGAGAGCAGGAGCAGGGGGAGGGGCAGAGGGAGAGGGAGAGAGACAAGCACACTCCCTGTTGAGTGGGGAGCCCGATGGGGGGGTGGGGGTGGGGGTGATGGGGGGCTCCATCCCAGAACCCTGGGATCACAAACTGAGCTGAAGGCAGCCGCTTAACCTACTGAGCCACCCAAGCACCCGAAAATGGAAGAATTCTTATGGAAATGATGGACAGGGTTATTTACAAAACAGAAAAACATTCTTTAACTTCTCTTGCTGGAAACAAACCAAAAAACCCTACCCTACTCCAAAATTATATCCAGCATTAAAGGG